AATTCAAATGTGGGACTTTTTATACACAATGGCTGCCGTAGTTTCTAAGTGCACTTTTAAATGGTGAGTGCATAATTGCTTAATTATACATTATGAACGTACAAATTCACTTGAATTTTTTTTGTACTTAGTTGGACCCTTGCCAGTAGCTTGGTATAGAGTTACATTTTTAATTCTCATTTTTAATACTCGAAAGATGATGGCGTGTTCCTACTAGGCAAAAACAAACAATCGAATGTACATTTCGAACCAAAATTTTTGGACAGTAGCAAAAGCGCTTCAAACTATTGAAAAAAACATGCGGTGGTAAAAAGGGCTTCCACCGCAATTGTCTTTCTATTTTTTAAATACGGTACCACAAGTTTTTAACATCTACTACAAGTCTACACTAATTGAAACTCACCATTATTAATTATTTCTTTTTGGAAATTATTTGGGTCTTTGAATCACTAAAGCACATGGCAAGATACTGCGTTTTGAAACTTGCAGTAGGTATGAATATACTTGCGGTGGATGTGCAATGGTGATGCAATGTAGTGGTGAACGTGTCTTCATTCTCCTTAGTAGGAACGAGCCTTGAGCCGATGTCACTTGGTCACTGACATTGGTACATTGGATGTTAAATTTATAGTTCAATAAATTGGACAAATGGAGTTTAGAAGTTGTACGGAAGCCACTAAGGCAAATGTATGCTCATTGGAGCATAGCTGGATTATCTAGGAAGTCTGAAACTGGTTCTCAGTGGAATAATGGTGTAGGATGAATATTAGACATGTTAGTTGTAATTGAGAGGTTTTTGGGTCTCTTATCACAATCGCTTCTTCTCACAAGAAGATGAGCTAGACCAAATTCATCATTAGTACTTCTAGTATTCAAATATTTCTTCTGTCTTCTCTTATTGCTACACTCAATTTTAGTGGACATAAGTGCTAGAGATATCTTCTACAACAAGTGATACCAATACCAAGTTAGTAGTTGTTTTTATAGTTTGTAATTTTTATTTGATAGTCCTAAGAAGAGATATAGAAAATGATTAGAATAGAAATTTTATAATTTCAAAGAAATCTATACTATTGACATCTCATATAAGCAAACATAATATTTTTGCAATCTTCTATATGCATCAAATTTGAACTTCACTCAATATACTACATTAATGTCAGGATTTTAAAATAGGGCAAGTGGTTTTGATGGCTTGATTTTAAAAATCAAGCGATTAAACTTCAAACTACTCATTTACTTTGTTTCTGTAATATCCTCAATGACCTCTTTATTTCCATCATTGTCTATCTCTGCCAAGTCAATGATTCATTTGCGAATACCAGTTGCAGCAAAGGCAAAGTCTTATATGATTTTATAAATAATTAGGCCCAATGAAATTTTGAAATGGGATACATGAATTATCAATTGGGCAATGTTAATTAACATCCAAATAGTTTTGAACTTAACTTTGAAAGCATCAACTATAAGTTGAAACACAATTGGAAAAGATTCAGAAAATATACTAGGTGCATGCTATGTATTAAGTTAATCAAATACCAAATAGTATTATTTGAATTCAATATTGAGATATTAGTATACATTGTGGGTAGTTGTACTGCATGTGGCTCAATATTTGGCATCTCATCTAGATCCTCAATAGTTGATCTTCAATTTCCTTTACTGGATTTCTATCATAAAGGTTGAGCAAAATAAATCTGAGTTAGTTTTTCTGAGCATTAGAATGCAATTCTAAAGGAATAGGAAATCTCTAAGATTGATAAGAGTTTATAAATATTGTCATGATGTAGGTCGCTTAACAATTAAAACTAAGACATATATGTAATTATTTATATTTTTAAAAATGATAATGGATTGATGATAATGTGGTATTGTTCTTCGACATGTATCAATTGTAGTTGATTGAGGACCATTTTAGGTTATTGACCAAGTGGTTAGTATCTTAGGTTAAGGTGAATTTGAACAACTACAATTGCGGAGGTGTTCAAAGCCTAGCCACTTAGGATTTCCTTGAGCTCTAATTCCTATAGAGTTCTTATTTACCAAGGGGGATTCAAGAGGTGTGTACTTAAGAGAGGAGAGAATATAAAATTTGCTAATTTGGTATATAGAGTGTGAGAGGATTAAGTTCTTTCTAAGTGCTTAGATTGCTTTAGGATATTATGGTAGTTTGGAGGAGTGAAGAGAGACACTAAAGCATTATTTTTATCTTTTACACTTGATTTATAAAAAGGGCAGAATTTTGGTCTTGGTTTTTGATGTGTTTTGCATGATTGGAGAGGAATCCTGAAATGAGATTTTGGAGAGGTGTTCACAGTAAGGTGCATCAATTTTGTGTAGTGGTTTCAAACAAAGAGCTCATTAGAGTAAGGAACAAGGGAACAAGAGAGCGTGAAGGAGAAAAGGTCCATGAAGCATACAAATTGGAGCAGTAACTTTAAAGGCTTGGTTCTCATTTGATATTCTAGCCATGGCAATAAGATTTTGAAGGAAATTCTTTTGATATATTGTAATGCAAGGAATTTGCAAAGAATGCACCATACATTGGGCGAAGATGCAATTGGCCAATACCATCATTTTACGTTTCATGTAATATGTATGCAGGGTAATTTCTTAAAATGCAACCTACAGACGGTGTCAAGTAGTAAGAATTGTCCTTAAGGAAACATGAGATTCCTAGTTGCAACTAGCTTGATCATTTGCCTTCTTGTAAAAATCCAAGTTCAAGCTAGTTGATTCTTAGCTTGATCAAAACATAGAATTTTTAGCTGCAACTAGCTAGGAATCAACTAGCTTGATCAAAGCTATCGAAGGTTTAGTGATCTTAGATTTTTTCAAGGAAAAAAATACATAAATAATCTTCTAAAATGAGCCAACATTTGATATTCCATCATTCAAGGTTTATAAAATCAAACCTCCCTTCGTAATATAAAGTGAACCAAATTCATTTAAATACTATTTCATATAAAGCCCTTATGCATTTATCATTAAGTTTAGGCTTTAAGAAAACAAGACCAATGCATCCAAACTTTAAACTTCCCTTAAAACCTTTACGTCTAGCCTTAAAATTTTCTACATTGTCCTAAACATACACTATTTACCAACTTAATATCTGCTCATACTTCTCATTATCCATGTCGTCTCGCCCATATATTACTTCAAATGCTTCCCTCATTGATCAAGTTGTGAACATCTATAATGTTTACCTTTGTACATTTGAATTCGCCTTCTTGCGGAAATCCGAGATCACTAAACCTTGAACTCAATTTTTAACTCGTGAGATTTACTTATCACAAGTTTAGCTTCAACCATTTGAGGATTCTTCAGCACTTCTGCTCCAATTGTGCTCTTACAACCACCAATGAGACCACGTCACATGCTCACTCCCAAATGTACATATGGCAATGAATCCTCTATGCTCTATAGTTGCAAATGCAAGCTTCAACATGCTCTACGTGCCCAATGACTGCCTCTACATTTCCTTAATTCCTGGAACTAGTCCATATTACTTGTCATGTAAATATGTTCATAGGTCAATTGGGGACTTGGTAACACCATCGTCTGTCGAATTCGTGTAATTACATGCTATATATTGCTTCATTTGTTCATATTATTTGTCTTATAGACCAATTTATTTGCTCATATTATTTGACTTTAAGTCTAGAAGACCATGTTTATTTCTTCCTTTTTAGTCCTTCATTTGTATTATAATGCTAGAGCAATATTTATTGGTAGTTTTAGTATTATGACTTTTGTACAAAACCTTCTAGATGCAAATTCTGAAAGTAAGTAGAAACTTTGAAGTTTTAATCTCATTTGTATATCCTAAATATGCCTTGGCAAGAAATTGCCTGGGGGAGCATAACCTTTTCATTATATGTCCGGTTCATGAAAAAATTATACTCCTACAAAGCTCTTATAGTAGGCCTTCTTCATAAAATCTCAAAAAAATTCTTGAAAATTGACATCATAAAAACTTGCACAAACTCTCAGAAAATCCATTCATGGACGATGGTCCTTTGTAGGTTAAGGTCCATATCAAAACAACCTCAAAACATATTTTATTTTCCTCTACATATATTGAGGTTGCTTTCAGGACCTTATCAAGACAACCTCAAAAAAAAAAAAAAAAAAAAAAAATCACATTGGACCTCTAAAATAAAAGTTATACTACTTTAAAGGAAAATTCTCGGACTCCAAGATTTTGCTAAAAGCTTCCATTAACATTGAGATTTTTCTATACTAATAGATAATATATTTTACTAGGAATTGCCAAAAAAATTCTTGTTTTTTATGAAATATCCAATTTTAACACAAGTCAAACATTTTTACACCATGTCGGGCAGGTAGAAAAAAAAACTTATTCTTTTCCACATAAAATCCAGAGATTTTAATATTTGTTAATTTTATTTTTTTCTATTGCAAGATGTGATATATATACCTTCTTTTTTATTGTTGGGATTCTCATTCTATAACAATACAAGCTCACAAAAATTAATTTGTATTGGCAATTTTCGAACCTCCATCCCTTCTACAATTCTTTTGAAAATGCTACACCCCTCATCTGCTTCTAAATATTGATATGCAACAAACTAATTTCATATACACCATCATAGTAAAAAAATTTGGCCTTCTATAATTCAAGTAATTGATACCAAGTGGAGTCAAAGTCAGCAAGTCTATGAATTACAGAGAAGAAAAAGCCTATGAAACACTTCAAACATTATAATCTTCCAATCTGTACAGTCAACTTTCATGAAAATTAGAGAACATGTTGTTTTAGTTGTATTGATAAAGATCATACTGTTAAAGATAGAATTTGAAGTTTCTTTTTCCTTCCCCTCTCTTTGCATTGGAGTATGTAGTTATGAAGTGTTTTTGGATAGAAATTTGCAAAGAACTTTAGACAACAGTTAGACCAACGGCTCTCATCATACCGCGCCCGATACCCTTCAACACCCTGCCGCGAATCACGCAATACCCCCGAACAACCCCCAACACTCACTAACTCCCTAATACCCTCACGCCCAATCTGCCTCATAAAGATTCTTCTCGCCTAGCATTCCCATCACTCCATCACTCCATCAGTCGATGAATCACGAATCCAATATCTCCACCTCCAAGCACAGATACAAGCGGTGAAGCGCACAATTCGGCAAAACTCTCAAGTTGTGAGCTGTGGATCTAGATGGAGAATTTTGGGATGGAGGTTTTTGTTTGTGGGTTTGCTTGATTTGGTCCACTGGATGGTTGTTCTACAGGTGATGGGCTGCGAGACAATCAGCAGTGTATTTGGGAGTGGTTTGCGAGATGGTGATTACTGAGAGAGAGAGAGAGAGAGAGAGAGAGAGAGAGTATATGTCTGAGTGAATAGTTTGTGACTAGGTTTAGGGTTTGAGTGAATCCATGTGGGTCACTGATTTTTATGAGGTTTTAGAGATATGAGTGTGGTTTGAGTGAATGTGGATCGCTGGTAAATTCGTGAGATTTTCGTGACACAGTGAGAGTGTGGATGTTTAAGTGAATTGCGTCACTGGTTTTTGAAGCTTTCGTGATGTGAGGATGCGGTTTGATTGAACGTGGGTTCGGTTTTCGTGACATGAGAGTGTGGTTTGTGTGAATTCATGTGGGTCACTGATTTGTGAGGTTGTCGTGATCATGTGAGAATTATGTGGATTGAGTGAATGGATGTTCATTGCTTTTTGAGGTTTTCGTGATGCGAGAATGTGGTTTGGAGCATTCACATGGGTCGCTGATTGGTTCGGTTTTCGTAACGTGAGAGTGTGGTTTGCGTAAATTCATAAGGGTCGCTGATTTGTGAGATTTTCGCGATTATGTGAGAATGTTATTGCGTGAATGTGAGTTCACTGATTTTGTGAGTTTTTGATCAGGTATGAGAAAGATGGCGAGGGATCGCAGCTGGAGCAGGTGGACGTGTGCACATGTCCCGCTCTCAGTCCCGCCCTAAACCCTAAACCCAGTACCCTCAAATCCTACACAAAAACCCTAAACCGTAACCCGGGTGGTGATTACTGAGAGAGTGGGTGTATTTGAACCATGGAATGGGTTTTGTGGGAGAGATGATGTACTCTGCCGATCAGGACTCATCACTCTGATTTGGAGCGTATCTGCATTTGGAAATCAATCTCAGGTAGGTTACATTTGTTGTTTGGGTGCAGATATTTGCTGAGGGTTTTTTGTGCTGGCATGGTTGTGGAGAATGTGTTGAAATGGGAATTGAGCAAGGAGAAGGTGCAGCCCTTGCGGAAGGGACGCAGCGATGGCACCAGTATGTGAATTTTGACTCGATCTTTGTTTCCCGACTGTACACTTCCAAAGGGTTTCTTCTCTATTTCTGTTACAATATGTAGTCCAAACTTTAGTATGACTTGCTCTAGCTCTCAAACTTGAACAAAACCAAAACAATATCTGAATGTATTTGCAGAGAATGGTGGGCTCACTCTTTGCAGGCGGTATGTTATCCAGTGGCTTCAGCTCCTCCTGCAACGACACATAATAGCTAACGATGAGCATCCCCAAAGACGCAGTACAAGCAGAAAAAGCACGAACCTTTCAAGGCGAATGCGAATGCCGAGCAGGACGAGACCCGGCGGCTCACCTCGAGGAGTTGGATTTCATTGTTGAGCTGCTGCAGCTTACGGTTACGCGCACACATCACAATAGACGTGGGAGCGGACGGCGGCGGGGTTGCTGGCTGGCGGCCGGAGTCATGGGCGGCGAGGGATTCGCCCGCAATACACTGCTCGCAGTCGTCGCCGACGATAAAGCACTTGCACTGCTGCTGCGGTCAGATTGTTGCAACCCTGCCGAAGACATCGTCTTCACAACAACCGTATAGAGACCGCCTCTACATCATGCCCCTCGCACACAACCCCCCCCCCCCCCCCCCCCCGGGGTTCTCGCACCTCATCGATTCTCGCAGCTCGCGAACTAACCCTAAACCCCCCCAAATCCTCACAACCGACATCCCTCCCTCTCGTCCTCCCCCTTGAAGCGATCACACCAACCAATCCGCCCACCCGATCCGTATACTCTAGAGCCCTAGAGCTCCTCCTTTCACCCCAACCATACGCTCACTCCACCGATCATCCCCCACCTCTCACCAGACCATATAATCGAGCTAACTCACACCGCGACCAGCTTCACCGGGAAGAACAATCACAACAACGACAACAACACTGGCAAAGATTCATCGACGACCTCCAGCACTTCCACTCCAGTTGTGCTCTTACAACCACCACCGAGACCACGTCACCTGCTCGCTCCCAAACGTGCATGCGACGGCAAATCCTCTGCGCTCTGCAGTCGCGAATGCAAGCTTCAACACGCTCCACCTGCCCAATGACTGCCTCCGCACTTTCCTAATTCCTGGGACTCGTCCATATGATTCGTCATGTTCATAGGTCAATCGAGGACTAGGTGACGCCATTGTCTGTTGAATTCGTGTATTTACATGCTATATATTGCTTCATCTACTCATATTATTTGTCTTGTAGACCGGTTCATTTGCTCATATTATTTGTCTTCCAGTCTGCATAGAACTATTTCAACTACCGAAAAAATTGGGTTTGTGGATGTCCTAGTACGCCGTTGTTGTCGACAAGCCACATGATGATTGCTATTGTCTGTTGACATTCCCTGCAAATGGAAAATTGACCGACTTGTTTTACGTTGCAAGGAATCAACAGGTGGTAGACAGCCTACGTACGCGCGTAGGTGGCCTACGGATGGGCGCAGGTCTGTTTCTGCTTCATCTTTGTCTGACTTTCACCTTTCTTTACCCGTTTTCCCTTTCTCTTAGCCCGCTTTCACTCATCTTTCGACGTTTTCACACATCTTTCCGATTTCTTTCGCGCCTTGCTCATTTCTTTCACGCGCCAGCTCCCGTCTGTTTCTCCAAGTTTTGCTTGTGCGGCGCAGGGTTTGATCGGAGAAAATCGTTGCAAGGAACCAGCAGCTGTTGCTGCGGAACAAGTCTGGCTCCGAGAAGAGGAGGGTTTTGGTTGAGGAGGATGGAGATGGATTTCGTTTGATGAGATGGGGTGGTAGGGTGATGGCAGGTTTAGGGAGCGCTGCTGAAGGTTTATGGAGAGGATCTAGACATGGTTTAGGGTTTTCTCCCCTACGGAGTGAGCTTCAGTTACATTCGAAGCAGAAGTTGAGGAGGACCAGGAACTACTCTTTTAGGCCAGGTGATGTAAGTTGCGGTTCTGTCACTTCTGTTTGGTTGTTTACATCACTTTCCAGAATGAGTTCAAGCAAGAGCACTCATGATCGTTGATATGTGCGTGTTTTCCTGTTGTTTCGTGTACTTGTGCTGGATCCATGGACTGATGAGTTGCACGTGTACTGGTCAGTAGTGAATTGGAATGTTTATTGAAACAACAATGTAAGTGTCATGCAAAGAGAACACAATCTTGACGAAAGGATCAAGAGCGAACTCGTTTTTTGAAAGCTATCATCATTTCTCCCGCTGGATGGTGTTTGTGAATGAGGAGGCTTCCTCTCATAGCGTCGTGGCGAAGCTGGAGCAGGTGTTGGAGCTGGCATTGAGAGCTTGGCGCCGGAGGAATGCTGGAACGTCGTCCTTAAACTTGGTGAGGATGAGGTGTTTCTTTAGGCTTGTTGCAAATGCTAACCACTCAAGGTGATATTTTCCAGTGATCTATCCATAGGTGTGAGATGATTTTATGGGTAATGTAGGGCAACCTGTCTCTCAGGTGTGGATTTCTTGACTGGGTCCAGGTTTTTGGGTGTAGTACCTGTTGACAGATGTTTATGGGAGCTTGTCAGTTATGTAGGGAAGCGTTGGCCTGATTGGAACCGAACAATGGCCCTACAATCACCTGTAAGTTGTCCCTAGTCAGCTAGGAAAATGATTTTATAGCATTATTTGCTTCAAGGTGATTTTTGAGACGCTGTTTGGTGATTTGAAACAGCAAGGCATGAGAAGTGCACTCCACCCTTGAAGGAGGTTTGGATCCTGAGCATCATTTGCCGCGTGTAGGTGGCAGTTCTGAGGTTTTACTTGGGGAGGACGCGCTGAAGTTGCTCACTAGCAGGGCATTGTCTTCTGTGTGTGCACCTCAAATGAAACTAGCTCCTCAGCTAGCAAGAAGAATTACTAAACACGCATTGCTCGCACAAATTTAAAGTCAGTTGTAAACTACTTTCCGCGCCGCGTCTCCCACATACTGCGACAGTCCATCAATTCCATGAATTTTTCGCTGTATTCTGGATCCGGTGTGGTCAGTTGCCTATTTCTCTTTGTGAATGTACATTCCTCCTTCCACGACGTGGCTTACATTTATTCAGAAAATATTGTAACTTATATCTAAAACTGAATTCTGTTCGTCCTTGCAACATCATGGGGACTCGGACAAAATCATGATATAGAGGAAAACAAAACACATCAACAGGATGCATTAAACACGGATTTGAACCAGAAGATGTGTTCAGATTTTCGTCAATGGTTTATTCATTTCGTTCAAAGCTATTCCTCGTTTTGCAACATACTCCGATGAAGTATCATACTCCGTTGTACGACATTTGAAGTATTTCTGTAACGGAACTGAAATTTCTTCCGATTCTTCTGTTTCAATACTGGCAGTACACACATATACTGCCCACTCCCGTTCTCCAAAGTACTACAAAGCTACACTTCACCGATCATTTAGTGCTAAAAAAGGATAGAGGGATTAAATGCACCTGAACATAGTCCCGTGCCCTAACTGGTGCTGTAAAACCATGTAGTCTTATCATATGGTTTAGGGTCCTTCAGACAAAATATGTAGTAAATGATGTGCTTCGATACTCTCTTGAGAATGTGGATTGACTGGAATGTCAATCACCTGAGTACCTTGTGCTTGTGCTAAGTGACAGAAATAGGATATGAAATAGTGCAGTTGAAAACAAGCCACATCATGCCTTCCCCCTGTCCCCATTTCATAAGCCAAATCTCGCACAGCAGCAGTGTGCGGGTGAAGGTCAGGAATATTATATATGGTAGCATGAGGCCTGTGATTAGCATAAAATCCTCGCTGGCCAGGGGGGCCCAGATCGCCAATCCCAACATTCCTAAGATCATCGCCTTCTTGAAGTCCATCCTTACTGAGATTGTCTCTTCTACAAGTTCCACCAACATATTAGAGTTATTTATAAACTCACCCACAGTTTCATTAAGATACCCCCTCTTTTCATTTTGATATTACTATTTGTTTATTCTTAATATCTAGTGGATATGGAGGATCTTGATGGTCTGTCCTTTTTAAGTATGGAATAGCTTAGTGGTCCATAAACTCAAGTGAAATTCATTTAGCACCCTATGAGAAGGAATTTGCATGTTGTACCATGAATCTTAGTTGCCTTTCTTCTCTCTGATGTAATTATAGAAATTTAGAACTAACTCGGGTTACTTTTAATAACTAGAAATGAATAAAAAGGACAAAACTCTAGGTATCTTTGTTTGAATTTATGGATAATTCTATTAGAGATGTCTTTAAAGCTTAGAGCTTAGGTGGTGAGAAATTAGAATGTAGCTATGGATTATAAATACAAGGCAAATTTTACTATTCAAGGACCATCAGAAATCTTAAAGATGTTGATGATGCCTTCAGTATCATATGGAGACCAACAAATCTCCATCAATATCTAATTAAATTCAAAGCCAAATTCCTAAGCACTTTGTTGATATGTGTATTATAGAGGTTCTATGGTTAAAAGTTTGAATTTGATTGTGAATTACAAATACAAAGTGAATTTTACCATCATTTACCACCTAAACATATTGTAAGTGTCCTAATTTCTTAAAGCTTCTGTAAATTAACCTATGTGGGACCATCAAGATCATGGAGAACCTAACCAATCCCATGGGTACAATTAGCATAATACTATTACTAATCATCATACTCCACTCTTAGTTTCTAGACTAAGTGACTTCTAATGTGAATCTCTGAGGTTGAAAGAATAAAAGTGTGTCTGTAAACTCACCCATCAAATTCCTGGAACACAAGTACAGGTACATGAGATAGCCTGTAATAACCATTCTCATTTATCCTTCTTTTACTGTGGCCATTCCAAATGTCAATATAGTTTGCAATTGCTGCTTGTAAAATAGGAGTATATACTGCAACAAGTAAGTGCCGTTGACAGGGTTTGGACTTCCATTCCTGACCATAGCTTCAAATTTGAACTCGTGCCACCACAACACTATTTCCCATCAATGACGTTACAAGTATTCAACTCTCTACACGTAGACTCAAAGTTATTTAAGAGTTGGAATTAAGTACAAAAAAGGAGGAAAATTTAAATAAATAAAATAAAATAAAAAATTATAGGAGATACTGAGCCAAAAATTAACTTTTTAAACTATTAATTTGTTTATTGTTTAGATACTTCTACTTTTATCTCATGCCTCATCTATCAAATCATAATAATATGCATGTGAACAATCTCACGACATTTAAAACAATGTAAGTTTGGGCATTTATAATAGAATTAAGCTAGAAATATTAAAAATATGAGGTCTTTGATTTGGACATAGCAAAAACTTATAATATTACTTTTTTAATGTGACTCATCCATGGAATTTCTTTAAAATTATGATAAAAATTTCTTAAAAATTGAAGACAAATAGAAGATATGTAAATCCAATTGTTGGAACTAAGATTAATTTTATAAAATTAAGATGGTAAGTTTAGCAAAAGATTGATGTTTGAATATATTGGTATGGGCTTGAACATTTAAGGTTTTAGCTTGATCATATACATGCTCTGTAACTACCATGCTTAACAATCAAGCGCTAGAGTTAGAAATTTCTTTTTAAAAATAAAAAATAAAAGACTCACATTTTGAGATATATGTACATTGTGTTTAAAGGTCCAAGCACTTAGCAATTTCAGAAAATATAATACTATCTGATTGTGGACAAATGAGCCCACTAAAAAGAGATTCTATGGCATATTTAGGTGGGCATTTTTCATATGTTGTCTGATTAAAGTATGCTCACTAGCAAAATCTGACCTCACATGTAGTGACAACTTAAATTTCTCAAATGCCATGGCAAATGGGCAATAAATAGTCTGGGCCAACATATCAGGAACAATTTCTGCCTACTGAAGATAATGAGCGGCTCCATCTATGCCAACATGTACTCTAAATCCGTACATAGAGAGTTTATCATATGCTGCAGAAACCACTCAATATTGTTATGCATCAAGTCATACTAAAAGATTAAAGAGAGGTTAGGATTTTGCCAAAAAAAAATTTGAAATTTATAAACCATTAAAACTAGTACTATAGTCTCTTTAAATATATGCTACAATAAGTATGAGCTACGCCAAAGAACATCAACCTCTTAGTAAATTAATGCAACATAAATTCTTCCATAGATATTTTTTTCTATATATGATTGCTCTTCATGTACTTCTATTTCTAAGGTCATGTTCTCTTCAAGAATTAACTACATTAGAAAAAAAATGATGTCTCTAGTAGGCTGCTATGGTTTGACAAGGCAAGCTATTTCAAGAACCATAGTGGTTCCACTAAAAGTACCTACAACTAGTCCTTACCATGAGTGATTTTTAATAGGTTGTTGTCATATCCTATGATACCCCAAATGATATCCCTATGATATCCTTATTTATACCTTGATGATATCCTCTAGTATTTAATTAATATCAAACAAATATCATTTGTAATATCCAAATTGATACCCTAGTGATATTCTATTGATACCTTCTAATATCATATTGATATCACTTAATATCCAATTGATATCCTTGTAATACCCATTGACCATATAGCTCATGCTTTCATTCCTACAATAGTAAGTGATAATAGGGGATATTTGGACAATCATGGCAAAATAAATGTAATCTTGGGATCCCCTTGAGCACATCCTAGCAGCCTATTAGAGACCTCATTTTTTTTCTAATGACTACATTGTTCTTGATTTACAACATTACAATATTAGGCCAAAAAAAAGATGTCAGTGAATATAAATTATAGGTTGAATTTACGAATCATTGAAATATGTATATATTGATAGTTTGTTGTTGGTTGTAATACTAAATACCAATAATTTATAATTATAAAATAAAATAATTATCTTCTAAATGGGGTAATTATTATACCAAATAAACTGCATACACATATATAATATTTTTAACCACTTAGCAATAATATCATCTTTATTATAACAAAATATTTCATCCATGTTTACAAGAATAAAGAATATTCTAATATCACAATTTTAATGCACATAGCATTACCTATATATAAGTTATCATAGATTATTAAACTTATAATAACAATGTATCCTATACCACAATTATACTATGATTCAACTTGCTTGAGCATATTTACTCACTCATAGTCAATATATTGATTTGGACTCCAATATTACAATCACAATATGATTCATATTGCCATAACAAATTAGGCCACTCACAATCGATATACCATAGAGCCATAGGGAGAGTGACATCATTTTGCCTATAAATGATTAGCTTGTCGTCTTGCATACTCCACACCTTATCAAAAATATCAACACAGATGAATATTTCTTAACATGAAAGAACTTTCATTTGAATAAAATTAAATTTAAAATACAACAAATATATGGATGAATAATTCATAGAAAATTAAAAGATATCGAAATAAGACCTTTTTGAAACATAAGTAAAATTTCATCATATCCAACTTACAAATTATTATCTAAATCATTAACATAGTAAGGTAAAAGAAGCTATGACAATATAACATTTATGAAGATTATTTTTTTGGATAAAAAGAAGAAAGTGAAAAAAATATATAAAAATGGCATAAAAATGAGAATGACATACTAGAGATTAACCGTAGTGCTTCAACCACTTTGGGCCTGGGAACTTTAATGTCCAACCTGGCTAGTGCCACCTTCATATGACAAATATCCCAATTTCGACCATGCTCAAATATAGATAGATTTGTAATTATTGCCTCATGAACTTCCTCCATTGTTAAAGGAGTAAATGTACAAAAATTGTACCCCAATTCCCGAGTGAGTATATTCTTCAAACGATGAGGATCTTCAATACCAATATTCAACGCAATAGTCTTGAATGCAACCCCATATCTAAGTAGCCTAAGAACATGATGAACAAGATTTTTTCCTACAAAATTTATTCCCTCCATTCTGCAAAAATGATGATGCTATGAATTATTAGAAAAGGATTGGTATCCCTAAGTGCATACATGAAGAACAACATCTTGAATAGGCTTGTAGTATCACCTCACTACTTAAAGTATAACCATATCTTTAGCATAACACTAGTGGTTGATGCTTGCTTTGCT